AACTGATGAATATTCTAGTCATTATTTGTCATCATAGGAACAGTGTATTGTAAGTTCTGCCCCAAATCTAAGTGAGGTATTTAGTTGACTGAGCTCATCAGCTGCACTGAGGAGCACTAGTTTCCCTGTTAGAAGCATAAGATGACCTTCTGTAGAAGTGCAGTGAAACAGAATGGACCGTAAGAGGTCCAACTGTTGAGTCAGTCTAGAAGAGTACTGATGTCCTTATATTGATTGTTCTTGGTACTGGTCAGAAATGTCTATTAATAATTTGAACAGCAACTAAATACCCGTCAGCTCCCAGGAAAAGACGCTGCTCAAAATCTCTATTGCTGATTAATTACCATTGGTCTTAACCAGCACTATGGCTTGGACATGCTTCCAGCACTACTTTTAGCATTCTTTCCATAGGCTTTGATACATGGCATCTTTACCTTTAGATATTGTCAAGAAACAGCAGAATCAAGTTTTGAATTGCATGATTGTTGTTAAATAAAATGTCAAATGCTCACCGTAAGCCTGGTCAGCCTGTTTCATTTGGGTTGAGCTACTTTTGGCTAAGAATCTTGTTGCTATTCTTAACACAAGCTGTTTGGGTTGATGTGATAGTTGTCCTGATTCTTTGAATGCAATCTTCTGGTTTATTTGGCCTTCACTTGAAAATGGTGTATGAAGTAGTATGGTATCACTTCAATATGTTCATGAGCCCTCGGGACGGGGGGTAAGGAAGGGCAAGGAATTGGTTATGACAACTGCAGCTTCTTGTTTAGACAGTTCTCAGAAGTGCTAATGCTTGAGGAACAGAATGAGGTGTTCTTCAGCTGTACAGTTGCTGATCTGGGTGTTTAACTTCATCTTCAGTATGTTCAAAATGTAGCTGTTCCATCAATACAAGACCATTTTGACTAGAAGTGGCGATTGTGTTGTCTGGTGTGGTGTAGTGTGTTGCAAGGAGTTTGATTTACCCATATATATATATAATATATGCAATTGATTAGTTCTGCATGAAGTTGCTGCTTTGTAAGTAGCTTTAGTGAGCTGTTCAGATCTGTGATTCTGTTAATAATGAACAGTACAAGGGATTTTGGCTGTTGATAGAGTAGGAAGGTTTTGTCTTTAAAAAAAGATGGTATAATACAATAATTAAAACATAATTTGTAAATGCTGATTCCTTGAGTAAAAGAAGCAAAGCACTCTAGTATAGTATTAGTCTTCTCTTGCCATATGTGTTGTATACTTGTTACTGTTTTCTTTTAATCTTTAAATGTCCAGTTATTTCCTGGGTGCTGTGCAGTTCAACCTCTAGATAGTGGCACTTGTATTTAGCTGGAAGCACACAGTGATGTCTGGTCTGGCTGCGTAGCAAATTCTGCAAGTTGGTTATATCTGAGTTAGTGCTGACAAAGGGAATAAACCAGGATGAGAGAGCTGCCAGAGGAGGTAACATCCTTAAAGGAACATCTGGTAGCAGAAGTTCTGGGTATCGCTTTGGCCTTGCCAGAATCTCCCTTTGAGGTTTCCAGGCGTGTAAACATTTGTGATTTGGCTTTAGTTTTTAGCAGGAAATCATTGCCATGAACGGGTGATGGAGACCTCACATGAAGCACAGCACATCAGGCTGTTTTTCTTTTTTTCTTTCTTTTTTTTTATTTTAGAGCCAGCATATTAGCTTGAGCTTTTGATGTATCAAAAGGCTTGATTCAATGGGAGGCATCCTAATGAACATGCTGCAGTTATATTGGTCCTGGGAAGTACCGAACTCGAATGTGCGTGGAGACATCAAGTTTCTCATCTATGAAATTCCCATCTGTAGTAGGAAATGAGATAAGACTGGAGTTTGATGCCATCTGATACTGTGTCCTGTAAACAAGTTCCAGGTGGAGCATGGTGTGCTCATTCACAGTTCTGAGAAGTGGAAGTCTAAAAGCAGTTCATTCACAAAGAAAGGTTGGATACTTCAAAGCCTCAGGCTTGTCAGTGTAACTAAATCTGCAAGGCTTTTGGGATATCTGTGTACGTTGAAAAGCTTTAAATAACTTGGATTGCTGAATAAGGTCTCTTTTCTCTTATATTTTACATATGTGTTTGTAAATAAGTTATATTTATCTGGGAGTTGTTGGCACTGAGTGGTGCAGTTGACACACTAGAAGGGAATTACACCATCCAGAGGGACCTAGACAGGCCTGCAAAGTGGGCATGCGAGAATCTAGTGATGTTTAACAAAGCCAAGTGTGAAGTGTTGCACCTGGGTCAAAGCAATCGCAGATACGTGTACAAACTAGGAGAAGAACTTGAAAGCAGCCCTGCATAGAAGGATTTAGGAGTCCTGATGCATGAAAGGCTGGACATGAGCCAGCAGTATGTGCTTGCAGCCTGGAAGGTCGATTGCATCAAAAGAGGGGTGGCCAGCAGGGAGAAGGAGGAGATTGTCCCCCTCTGCTCTGCTCTTGTGAGGCCCCGTGTGGAGTACTGCATCCAGGCTTGGGACCTCCAGTATAAGAAAGTTGTGGAGGTTCTGAGGAGGGACCACTCCAACAAGATGATCAAACTGCTGGAGCACCTCTCTTATGAAGCAAGTTTGAGGCAGTTGGGCTCGTTTAGCTTGGAGAAGAGAAAGCTCCAGAGGTACTTCCATGTGGCTTTCGAGTACTGGACGAAAGCTTATAGGCAGGAGAGAACTGACTTTTTACAGGGTGTCATAGTGATAGGGCAAGAGATAATGACTTTAAACTAAAAGAGGAGAGGTTTAGTTTAGTTTAGTTGTTAGGAAATAAATTGTTACAGGGTGGTGAGAGGATTGACTGCATTGACCAGAGAAGTTGTGGGTGCCCCATCCTGGGGGGCATTCAAGGCCAGGTTGGATGGGGCCCTGGGCAGCCTGAGCATCTGAGTAGCAGCACTGCCCATGGCAGGGATTTGAAACTGGGTGATCTTTAAGGTCTTTTCCAACTTAATTTATTCTATGATCTGTAAGCCTATGGGAATGATGAGCTTGTGCTTCCCTGCTGGTTGGAAAGCATTGACTTCCGTCCATCCATTAGTCTTTGGAAAACATGATCTTGTTTGTCTTTTAGAAATGTGAAATTTGGCACTGATTATCTGGCTTCAGGTCTTGTTCTATGCCTGAGCTCTGTAGGAGGAAAAAAATGCAAACATTAGAATGAGAATAATAGATATGTATTTCAAGTAGTTAATCTGTTGTAAGGGCACTCTTGGCTCAAATAGCTCCTGTTTGGTGTTTAAGCATTACTATTTGACATTTTATTCAATAAGAGTTGTTGTAGTATCACGGATGAATGTTCAGTGTTCTATTATGTTTTTTAGGTATACCTGAATAACTTCAGAAAGCACACTTAAAGCATTGCTGATATTTTCTTACGAGTCTTTATAAAAGAGACTAAACATTTTATGTTGAGAAAAAAGGAACAAAAGTCCTGTGAGGGGACTTGAAAGTTTGCTGCAGCCTGGGTTATTTCAAATAATGATTTGGAAACTGGTTTCTTAGCTTAAAAGATCTCAGAGTGATTTTGCTGTTGTTTAAATGCTAATTGCCATCGTATCATCATTTGCCTCTGATGGGAACTCCATGGCCGTCCTGCCAGAAGTCAGCCAGGCAGAAAAACCTCATCAAATGCCAAGTGAGCCCACCTTTGCCTTGAGAGGCAATTTAGGTGACCTCTGAAGGTTTCTACCTGTCAAAGTTATTGCATGATTTAGTTTCCACTTAATTATGATAAACTACAACTGTCTTGAATTTCAGACAGCAAGTCTAAAAACTGATTGCAGTGAAGCTCCTTCACGCAGACTTGGGGAGGACTTGTGTTTAGCATCTCAGCTCATTACCAAAGTGAGCTTAGACATGCTTTTTTTATTGCCTGTACTTTGAGAAGTAGTATGGTGGATTCTGACTCCAAAGAGTTACTGCACAGTGCATTTACTTTACGTATATCTTTTTTCTTTCTCTCTGTGCTGGAAGGCTGGTGGAACGGGAGAGGTCTTTTACAGACAGTTAAAGATCTAAAGTATGTAACTGATCTTACGTAACTTCTCCTGTCTAAATTGGAGCAGCACAATACACCTTATTAACAGAATGGTGCCAAGTTCAGCCTGTTGAGGTTTTTTTTCTTCCAACTTAAGAAATCATGAGTATAACTTAGCTGACCTTAATTCACTTTCATGCTTACTGATATAAGCATGCTTTTAACCGGCTTACACAGTAATCAGCTGTAGTGATCTAAATGACTAAAATCTCATTGACTCATTATTGTGAGGCAGTGTCCTTGCTTAGAATAAGAGGAACTGAAGTTGTTTATTTTTTCCCATTTCCACTGTGGAATTATTTGTCAGTTTATGTAATTGTAGGTTACAAAGTACCCTACAGCAAAGGTAAAAGTAGCCTTTAGTTGTGCTATTCCAACTACTGGTTAAATATTTTAATCCCCAGGTAAGTTCTCTGTATGCCTCTCTTTAGAGATGACAGCAGGTCTGTCCTGCTGCATGGTTTTCTCTCTTCTTCCCCAAAGTCTAGATTAGTGACAACCAAAGGTTTCTTTCTGAGATCTCACTCAGAGAGGTTGCTAAGCTGGGGAAATAAGATATTGAAAGAAGTGTTTGGATTCTTTGCGCGTGACTCTTCTCAAAAGTTCTGTGGAGTCAAGGTCTGTAACTTGGCTCTCCATTTTAAGAATTTCTTCATCAAAGTGCAAGCACTCCTCTTTGCCTTTCCTGTTTCTGTTGAAAAGGAATAGCTAACTTGGTACCAGCAGTTCAGTTTCAGTGGAGACCATGAGGCAGAGCACTGGCTGCATGCAAATGAAGGCAGATATTGTTCTGAATCCTGGAAAAAAGGTATTGTGTTGTGGATAGTCATATTCAACTAGAGCTTGTTTATGACCTCATTACCTCACTGAACTTACTACTGCATTTGTAGTAGTATGTTAAGATATTATTTAAATGCCTTTCAATGTGTAATTCACCTCTTTTTTTTTTTTCCCCTCCAGAAATGCTATGAACAAAAGCAGTACAAAAATGGACTCAAGTTCTGCAAGATGATCCTTTCTAACCCCAAATTTGCTGAACATGGAGGTAACTGCTCAACTCACAAGTTTTTGTTTTTCTTTTCTTGTCCTGAGTTTTAGTCATTCTATTCTGTACTGTTGAGAGAGAATGTAGCCTGTCACTGAGTTTTGTTCTGTCCTTGCAAGTGAATAATACTCTTGATTTTTTTTTTTCAAATGTAGCACATTCATACCAAATTTCCACACTAGCTTATAGTCAGGAACATTCTGTGGCATGAGGATCAAATGATTCAGTGAAGCACACTTGAGTGAAGCTTCCACTCAATTTGCCTTTCTAGATTTCCAGGTTAGAATGTGAGCGTGTACTGTTTTATTTTTTTTTCTTACATCTCTATTTAACTGCAAGCCCTACCTTCTTTTGAGCACTACACTAAGGTATTTTGCCAAGGAGTTAAATCTTGCTTTTTTTGTCAACTAGATATTTTGAATTTCTTGTACTGCAGATCAAATTGCTACTTAAGACAAACAGGGTGAAGTGTAAGAGTCTTGGTGTTAAGGCTGGCCTGTTCCGATAAATACTGCAGGAAATTGGACAGGAAAGTGTTGGTTCTATTTACGTCTCTCAGAACTTAATCCTCAGTAAGATACTCAAGTGCTGCTGCATTACAGGATTTCTGTTGCATGGTTCAAGGAATACTTTTGATACAGGCATTTTTTGTTTGTCTGCTGTTGGAGCAATTTAACACAGACTGTGCATGTACTGAGTCAAAATTATTTTGCTGTTTGACCTCATCAAATCTTGGCAAAATGTTTGACTAGTCATTCTTTTGTCTGTGCCTGGTGTTTCTTGGTTGTCTTCGTTAATTTCCTAGAGATAAAAGAACAGATTTTTTTTCTTGTCTCAAAATTAGGGAGTGGTCTCTGCCTCTGAGACCTCATCACTTGTCTCTGCTAGCACTTGTGTTTTTATAACCTCCTAGTACGTGTTTCTGTATCTTTCCTGCTCTTGCTGTCTTAAACTTCTTCAGAACAGCTAGCTGCCTTGGCAGTCCACATACTGCATGGGCTCTAAGCCATGAGTGGCTTTGGAGCTTGGGAGCAAAGCCTGAAATGAACAGCTGAAGCAGAACTAAGCCAGCGAAATGATCTGATGGGAAGCTGTGCTGTTGTCGCACTTAGCCTCAGAGATGAGGGATTATAAAGAATTGAGTGAGGTGATAAACATGGATTGCTGTGACTGGACAGCTATCTCCCTGGTGCGGGCAGGTAGCAGTAGCTTGTCCTCATGAGACCCCACCTGCAGTATAGTGTCCAGTTTTGGAGCCCCCAACACAAGAATGACATGGTTGGTGCAGGTCCAGAAGAGGGCCACAAAGATGATCAGAAGGCTGGAGCACCTCCACTATGAGGACATGCTGAGACAGCTGGGGCTGTTCAGCCTGGAGAGGAGAAGGCTCCAAGTAGATCTCATAGTGGCCTTCCAGTACCTGAAGGGGGCCTACAAGAAAGCTGGGGAGGGACTTGTTAGAAGGGCATGTATCAACAGGATGAGGGAAAATGGTCTTAAATTGGAAAATAATAGATTTAGAGTAGATATTAGGAAGAAATTCTTGGCTGTGATGGTGGTGAGACACTGGAACAGGTTGCCCAGAGAAACAGAGGATGCTCCCACCTGTAAGCAAGGCCAGGCTGGATGGGGCTTTGAGCAACCTGGTATAGAGGGAGGTGTCCCTGCCTACAGCAGGGGGTTGGAGCTGGATGATCTTAAAGGTCCCTTCCAACCCAAACCACTCTGTAATTCTGTGATTCGCACAGTAGAGATGTGCTTTTTCAGCCTTCCTTATATTACTGAAAGGTATCATTCTGTCTTTCAGTGATTAACTTAGAGTATGGGTATAGGGCAATCTATTTAAAAAAAAATAAGTTGTCTTTGAATAATTGTTCACTTCTTTAAAAGTACACCTAGAGACAGGCCTACTAATGAAGTTAAAATGAGTGTTACAACTAAATTTGATCACAAGCCCTTTCCATTAACACACTTTGTAGTTTGAGGGAAAATGAAATACGTGGATGAAAATGAGACTGTTGTCTGGCAGTGGGCAAAAATAAGCGGTCTCCTATTTAGTAGGGAAGATGATCTAAAAGAAACCACCCACGAATCTGCAACAGCTTTTCTGGCACAGCACATGCTTACATACAGCTTGTTTTTTAGTGTTACTTGAAGGACGGAGGAAGAAGAGCGATAGTCATATCAACGTATTTGGAATCTTTTGCTTCTCAGAGTACTGACTAAAATCCTACTTAGAGAGACTTTCTTCCCCCAAGTGCTATAGCAGGAAAAATGGTCCTCTTAACTTATGATTTTGAGGCAATCTGCAGTAAATAAACAGACTGTGACAAAGATTTTTGTTTCTTATGGTGTGACACAACCTAAATAATTTGTTGTTCTGCCTATGTGAAACCTTAACATATAATGAAAAGCACTTTAAAACTGCTGTAGCTAATTGTTAGCTCACTTAGATAAATGCATTTTTTGCTAATAAAATTTGTGTTGTCTGCATTCGTCACATCTGTATTAAGCTCTGCAAAAGACTTCAAACTCAGTTTCAAGAAAGGAAATGCCTCCATATAACAGTCTTCAGCTGTGCTAGGCAGCTATCCTGATCTAAATTTATCATTTAATGGGGAACTTCACTGTGTAGCAACTTCAAAGGATATCTGTATTGTGAAACTGGCATATGGGAAATCAAGAGCATAAGTATATGATATTTCTTACAGAGACGCTGGCTATGAAAGGATTGACTTTGAACTGTTTAGGGAAGAAGGAAGAAGCATATGAATTTGTTCGTAAAGGACTCCGTAATGATGTAAAGAGTCACGTCTGTATCCTTTGTAATACAAAACCTGATCTCTTTTGCTTTCTTCTCACTTGTGTGCATGATTTTGGTGCTGCATCAGCCTTTACTTTTGAAGTATACAATGTGGTCTACATATAAAAGGAAGTTGGAAGTGAGGTGTGTGTGATGATTATTAATTTGCAATCAAGTACTTCAAGTAGAACTTCAGTTTCGTTTATACAATCATACAGAATCTTTAAGAAAAACAAAATGCCTTTTATGTTTAAGTTTCTTACACAAAGGCAGGTGCTTGCTTTCTGCAGGAAACTGTGTGTAAAATGTGGCTCATTTCTGGAGTTTATCTTAATGAGAGTGTAAGAAATCTTGTCTAGAAGTACTGTGAAAATATATATTTTGTTATTTGGAAATCTGAATTTTGAGTAGTGATTTTGGGGCTACTGGCTTGATGACTGCCATTCTCTTCTCAGCTTATCTTCCAAAAATCTGCAACTTAGAGACATGCCAAATACTCAGTAGTTTTGGGGGTAGCTGTCTTTTGTCATGCTACAGGCAGGCGGCTGCTTCAGCTTTGCTGTATACATTTGCATACATATCAAGCTTACTCAGGGATGAGTTTCCAATTGTCTTTTTTTAACCATAAAAAAGATAAAATTGTCCTTACTATCATACTTGAAGTGCTGTGTGGTTATCACAGTGCAGTTGCTGTTTACTCCTGTTTTAAACTCCCGGGAAGCTGGAGGTTATGGGAAAACATAACAAGGCTAAGAAACACTTCTAAGCACAGAGAAGTCTTCAGTTTGTAGAGAGAGGACAACCCATAGAACAAGCAAATACAACTTGTACCTTCCCAATCTAAAGGGTTGAACAGCTCAGAAATACCAAAGCAACTTTCTTCTGTGGAAGACTTCTCACAGATTAAGTTGGGGAGCAAAATAATGTGGTTGAGTAAAGGAAGTGTTTTTGTTCTTCCAGTAAAAATTCCAGCGTGGGATTTATCAGCAACCTCCATTCTTACCTGCAAGACTATCTGTAAACCATGTAGAACCCTTGTTTTCAAATGCTGGGAGGGCTCACTGCAAGAATTGGGTTTTATTTCAAGGGTTGGAGCCAAAGAGATGCTTCCTGGCAAAGTACTCATACAAAAACCAAACAACTCCATAAGGGAGTTTCTGTGAGTTTTTCACTGTTTTACTGACTTCAGGTATTTCTCTTACCACAAGATGATCACAAGGTATTCTTTCTTATTCTGACTTCAAGTAGTGTAGACCCATCTGAATCCACTTAGGTATGCATTCCCTTGTTTACCTCTTTTCCTTTTTTTTTTTTTTTTTTTTTTTTTAAAAGCTGTATCCATAGCATTATCACTAAACCTACCACCACCTCTTGCACTCAGATGTTATGTAGCTCTCCAAAGTTTCCCTTCATGTCTTGAGCAATTGGCCTGTAGAATTACATTTCTACTGAGCAGAAGCTTACCAATAACAAATTAATTTCCATCAGATATGGAAAGTTTGACACGGTATTTCAGTTGTCATCTTATGATGTTATTAAGAACTGGCAAATGTCTTTTAGTACCATGCTTAAAGAGCAGCTGCCAATCACAGTGCCACTGCCCAAATATGTTTCCTCTGATGGTGAGGCTTCAGTGTGTACAAAGTCAAGAGAAGAGACTGTATTCTGTCCCATGAGAAACTCAGTTTGAAGCTCAGCTTTCTAATAATAAAGGTCTGTTCTGCATAATTTGTAAGGGCTTGTGACCAGCCCTGATGTTCTGATGGAAGCTTGATAATAAACTGACGCTCTGTACCACCTAAGCAGAGCTTGGGAAGATCTCTAAAATAGTATTTACATTCCCTCTGAAATGAAGCACTGACATCTTAATGCCTGTCAGTTTGATTAGACAGAGAAGCTGGGACTAGCCACTAAAATCATGTCTTTTGAGAAGCTGGTTTCAAGGAGGAGCAATCTATCTATATTTTATTTCTAGCAGTAATGTTTGAAAACGTTTTTGATGTATTTTGTCCTCTGTGCTTTTTAAAAACATATGGCAGATGATTATTAAAGTATGACTGGTCACCTTGGAGTTTTGATTTGTTTATGGAATAATGGAAGAAAGTTTTAATTCCTCTGCCATTTCACATAGTTTCCCACTTTGAGGTTCTGGAAGAAAATAAAACTGTAAACTGTTCAGAAATGTGGAAACATTACAGGCTGCCCAAAGAGGCTGTTGATGCCTCATCCCTGGAGGCCAGGTTGGATGGGGCCCTGGGCAGCCTGGCCTAGCATTAAATGTGGAGGTTGGTGGCCCTGCATGTGTTGGGGGGGGGTGGAGATTCATGATCCTTGAGGTCCCTTCTAACCCTGGCCATTCTGTGATTCTGTGAAATTTTGTTGTTAAGCTACAGATGAGCTCTGACCCATTTTGAATGTAATTTGAATCATGGTTTGGTCAGAGCTATATGCTTACTTTGGTATTTAGTGCATCAGGAAGTGATGTGTTATTGTTTCAGTGCACTACGGGAACACATGCAAGGCTGGCCCAAGCTGTCTACTATGATTTCTTAGTATGGCTGTTGTATTTTCTTGTGCGTGATTTCTGCCATTGTGCAGACCTATTTCCAAAGGAGTTTTTGCCTTTCTTTACTTGATTGTTTGGTAAGGAATGTGGTTAATGGAGATTTGAAACAGAATACCTCTTGGATCTGGGAATAACAGCAATACCCCATAAGTTACTTGAAGCCTTATCTTCATTAGGCTACAAATTCTCTTGCACTGATTGGTCTTGCTCTGGGCAAGAATCTAAATTATCAGTAGTTTGTTCTTGAGGCTGATATGCAGGCTTGAGGCTGCATTTAAGTCTGATCCATGTCCTTAATACTTGTCTCTAAGAGACAAGGATCATCAATAGACAGTAGCTACAGCATTAGGCCAGCTGCTCTCACTGTATCCAAAATTGTTTGTTCCCTTTAGTCTTGTGGCAGCAACAGCAGCTCTGCTAGCAGGCTCAAGGATGAATACTGAGTTTGTCAATGGCTCGTGTTCCAGTAGGGACGGAAGCCAGGATCTCTTGCTTGTGCATTATCTGCTTCCTTCAGACTGTTGATTATTAAAACACTTTTGGAGACTTGTCCTTTGTGATTCATAATTACAAACTGCCTTTCTTAATGTCTTAAGGCCTTTCTAAGTAAGGAGGAACTTACCTTTCTACTTATTTGTCCGTGTTAGTGCTTTGAATTTTCTTGCTATGCTTTCTCAGTAGTTTCCAAACAATAGCATCTTTAGGGGGAACAGTTGCTTCATTTTCACCTCAGTATAATGAGACATCTTAAATGTTTTTTTTTTCTCTGTTAGCTCTGTGAGCTATTTTTATGTCTTTTAAACTGAAAATGGGTTAAGGATGCCTATAGCTCTTGCCAACTGGATTCAGCTGGTTCTGAAGCACATTGGAGAGCCTCGTGAGAGAACTTAAGAGCCACTTTTGATTTGAATGTGTTGAGTTACTAGTGCAGACTTACTAGTGCTGCCCCGATGAGCTACTAATATCCTGAAGTAGCAAGTAGTATATCGAGCAATATCTTTGTTAATGTAACTCTAGGAAACTGTTGTAAACACACAGGATAGATAATGTGTTGCTATGGTACCACTTGGTTTCATGTTTTTAATTCAAAACCTTTCCAATTTTTCAGTTGTTTGTTGTTTTGTTTTTTTTTTTTTTTCCCTAAGAAAAAGTTATTTAAACAGATGCTTGGGGAGAGAAGTCTATTGAAATGTGAAATGATACAGTGATGGAAGTCTGAGATCCTGTGAATCTGGTAAATACTTCAGTGCCCAGAAATATTGAAATATCCTCTTCTCAATTAATAAAGGGTAGATCTGTTTTTATCCCTTACTGTAAAACCTGGACACTAAGGTTGCAGATTGGCAGGGATGGAAGGGTGAAACTTGTGCACCAGTTGTATTTGTAGGCAGAGATAATTCTTGGGGTGAAAAGTCCCATTTTGGTTACAGTAGTGTGCTTTTAAACAATACTTCTCTAGGGTGCCTTTAAGACTTTGAATTGTTTAGTCTGTATAGCAAAGTTTGGTGGGGAGGTATGTTATGAATGTGATTTAATGGAAGATTTTATGATGTGTTTTACGTATTTGGAAGCGTTTAATTTAACTTCTGACAGTAAAGTCTGATTGCAGTAATCAAACTTAATTTACAAGGGTACTGATCTTCAAGGAAGCTGCAGAGTTATTTGTTCTGTAACACAAGTGCACTGTAGTTACTCTGTGTAAATTGTGGACGTGTCTTCCTTAACATGTATTAGGTTGGCACGTCTATGGTCTTTTGCAGCGTTCTGATAAGAAATATGATGAAGCCATCAAGTGCTACCGGAATGCACTCAAGTTAGATAAGGATAATCTGCAGATCCTGAGAGATCTCTCACTGTTGCAGATTCAAATGAGGGATTTAGAAGGATATAGAGTAAGTATTCTATTTAAACTCCTATTTATTGCTGTTTGTATTCTCTTATGTTCCATTTTTTAATTCTTTTATTGGTAGTCATTCTGTTACTACTTGTTTTTGATATTTCAAAGTAGGAAGTGTTTTAAGTTCTTGTTTGTGTATGAAAATGAATTGCAGTAGAGCTCTGTTATTCTCTATTGAGAACACACCCCCAGAAGTACATTTACTCTTTAAAACTTGACTAGTGAATCACCTTTTAAAATTCAGGCTATCCACCATTTTTTACTAAAATAAAAAGTATAAGACCTAAAGCTTAACGTGTATTTATTGTGTTACTGGAAGGTACTGCAAGCAATGTTTTGGTTGTAAGTACTGAGGGTGTTTTTTTGTGAGAAATACATTCTCACTCCAGTGAACTTTTTAAAATGTTGTAAATGAGCAAGGAAATGAAATATCTCTAAGTCAAAGGAATTATGTTAGAGATGATGCCTAACCTACAAGAAGGGCTTTTGCAAAAAAACAAATCACAGAATCACACAGAAATAATTCCAGGTTACTCTGAAAGTCTGTAGAAACTTGTGCCAGTCATGATTTTTCAAAGCAGAGTAGGAAAAAAAAGGATGTTACAATATTTTTGGTACTGGTATCACTTATGGAATCATGAAAATGCTTTTATTCTGTTTTGAGAGCGTTATTAGGTAGCGATTCCTTCTCCCTTCAGAAAAATGCACTCTGTTTTATTGAGTATGTGGGAAACTTGCCCTGTGCTAATTGCTTTCTTGAATTCAAATACAGATTTTATCATGAATAACAGCTTTAAATTTCTGTAAGAACTGAGTCAGTGATTTCAAAGTGGCTGAATGCGTTTGGCTACCAAAGTGTTAGAGGACTGGACTGTGGATTTTAGCATTTGGTGGTTTCCTTCACTGATTGTGTTGAATTCTCAAATAGAGGAAGAGTGGATAGCTGACTTAAAGCTGTGGCGTGGCTCAGTAAGGGAGATTAGAGAAGCAGTGCTTAATATAAGTAGCAGGACTTTGTGCATGGGCATGAGAAGGGTGGGACAGCTTTTCCAGTGGCAGTGAGCTAGTGTTTATTAGTGACACACCTCTGAGGTTTCAGTGTTCTAGCTTTGGGAATAAGGCAGGCCCTAAGAGAGGCTTCTTAAAATGACACTTCTTATGTACCCAAAAAGTGTTGTTTTTTCTTTTTGTGCCATGACTACTATGTTAAAATGTAGATTTATATGATAGTTTGTGGTAATAATGTAGTAATTTAACCTCTCTTTTTCTTTTTAATGTCTTTCTTTTTACTCAAGGAGACGAGATACCAGTTACTTCAGCTGCGCCCCACACAACGAGCTTCCTGGATCGGATATGCAATTGCATACCACTTACTTAAAGATTATGATATGGCCTTAAAACTACTTGAAGAGTTTAGAAAAACCCAACAGGTAAGACTTGCTATTCTATTCAGGAAATTCTTTACAGATAAGAGAGAATCCGAAGAACTGGCAGCTGGAACTAGATGATCTTTAAGGTCTCTTCTAACCCAAGCCACTTTGTGAATTAGTTTTTCATAGTTAGGAAAACCAAATTATGAACCATTTAAGAATTAGGAAGACATTTCTATTATTTCTGGAACTTTTTGCTTTGAACATTTAGATATCTCAAAGAGCTAGCAGCTGATGCAGATTATACAGGATCACTTGTTCCCTGGCAGTAAGCTGTCAGGTAGATTGATGTGAAATAACTTAATGTCTCTGAGGCCTGTAGCCAAAGAAAACCACTGTTGATCTTGTCTCATTATAGTGGGTAAAACTTCAGAAAGCACCATTTAACATTGGATGTGTGCACACACATTCTGTCTCTTCTATCATAACCTGGATTTCATTGCACCTCTACAGATATCAGGAAAAGAAACTGCTGTTGTTTTATGTACATCTGTATACTATTGACTTGTAATCAGTCCTTGGTATCAGGGTTGCAAGAAAGCAGAGTTAGAAAGCCTTATGTTTGAGAAGATCATAGAATCCTTAGTTGGAAGGGTCCTTTGAAGGCATCTACTGTAGCTCCCCTGCAATGATCAGGGACACCACAAATAGATCAGTTTGCCCAGGGCCTGATCCAACCTTATCTTGAAAGTCTTCAGGGCTGGGACGTTAACCACATCACTAGGTAACTTGTTCCAGTGCCTCACCACCCTCACTGTAAAAGATTTTTTTCCTTATATCTAACCTAAATCTATGCTCTTTGAGCTTGAAGCCATTTCTCCTTGTTCTATCACCGCAGACCCTGCTGAAGAGTCTGTACCTTTCTTTCCCGTGGCTCCTCTTCTGGTGCAGCCCAGAAGATCTGGTGTTACTGAAACTTGTTTGAATAAATCAATGCCAAGATTCCCGAGTAAAACTTTTTTTTTTTTTAAAAGGAGGGTCGATTTATTTGTATTATTAGTGACTTGGAATTGTAAAGTTTGAATTAACAGAGCGTTGGATGAATGAGAACAGTGGATTAATCTGTAATGTAGAAATTTAAACCATGTTTTTTGAGAACTTCTTGCACGGGTGCTAAGATATTACCTGATCTATAGGTTGTGATTGTTGTTTTGTGTTAACAAAGATGTGGCATCTGGTCTGAGATAAATGCATTTGAGATCCTATCGTGCTGCCAGAAGTGGACTAACTTAGCAAAAGAAAATCAGCAGTTGCTAGGAGAGAGTCCAGTGTTTGTGTGTTGATCATGTATCATGGTCAAGTAGAAGGCTTTGTATGCCAGGGATACATAGCTTGATATTACTGGAGAGCTGTCATTCCAGTGTTGAATAAAAGCTGAAAATAATCTATTTAAATAAAAATTGGGTCATTTTTTGGGTGTTTGATAGCCAGGAAGTTATGGCTCACTAATGAATCAGCAGAGCCCTATCTGAGCTCAGTGTTGAAATGAATTTTGTAATTGAAAATAACGTGTAATGGATGTAAAAACTGCAAATGACAAATTGTAAGAAGTTGAGGCTTTCTTAATATCAAATAGCACTTAAAATTAGTTTTGACTCTCTGGAGAGAGTGGAAGTGATGCTGCTAATGCTGTTGCCTTTTCTTAAAGACTGTGTGTAAATATGTTTATCTGAGGGCAGTCATGGTGATATACTCTTCAGTGTAGTAACCAAGCCAGATTTGAATACCATCTGCCACAGATAATTTTAAATCAGTTGAGTCTGTGGAATTTATCAGAATCCTTAAAAGAAAAAGAAGAAATGAATAAATCTTGAGATGTGTCATTCTGCTGCCATTTTTTTTTTTTTGCAAGACTGGAGATATTTGGGAAATGTCAGTGAATAAGACAAGGCTTCATACTTCAATAATACAAGCAACATGAACTATTTTTACTGTTGCTTAGCATAATACTTGCCAGACCAACAGCAGATGTTTAGGCATTAGAGGACAGAAATATACCATAAGTGCTGGACAGTATGAGTTTGTAGAAAATCAGTTATGTCAAGCGTTTTGTGATTGATAGATATGGTTATGTGATGAATTCTGTTTTCTCCTCTACGTCATTACAGTTGACCACATTAGTTTCCATGTGTCTTGCAAACAGAAAAAGTTTTGTGCCTTGTGCTTTTGTGCTTTGCTGTAGAAGCTTTCTGAGAAGTGCAAACCCACATACAGTCCAGCTGCTAGAAGAGAGGAGAGTTTCAGTTCTCTGCACTCAAGAGAGCCTTAGCAAAATCACAGCTCAGTTTTGCTACACATTGGCTCTTCTGTAGTTCCCAAGTGTGCTGCTGGTGCAGTCTCTGGATATTTAAGTTGTGTGCTTAACATGATTTAGCTCAGTATAGTTGTGAATTTGAGGAATTGTGTTTCTTGTTAGCCTTAATTGATAAATCTCTCCCCTTGCCTCACGCTTTGTATTTACTTGAGCCTAACGTATGTGTTTTTGTGACTGACTTGGAGTGTTGTGTATCACTTTCAAATGGTGCTGGTATTCAGTGTTTGAAACTGAAGGGTTTCTAAGTCACTAGTGAATGGGAGTCATGGGCAGACTGATGTTTTAGAGGAGTGTTATGGCAATTTGTGTTAGGTTTGATACTGTTTACCAGTTCTGTTAATGAATAAAAAAGGAATAAATGTGAAATACTGCTGTCACAATAATTGATAAATAATAGCAATGTTGGTGATCATAGCCATTTCCTTGGATTACTCAGGCGACTTTGTCCATTGAAATGTGAGTTAATGCGGCCAAAATCAAGCACTAAAACTAAGAAAATGAAGGAACAGACATTTTACTGATTGTAGATGGATAGTGAATATGTTAAGATGCAGTATTATGGAATAACAGAGCTGATTAACTGCAAGCCATTGCCAAAACCAGCAATCTGATGTCCAGTGTGCTCCCACTGCTTCTTTGTGCAGCACTGTTCGGCTTGTGTGGTTCAGGAAGCAAAAAGACAGAGATGTAATCACTTTTCAGAAGGAGTCATTGGCTGAACTGTGAGGTGAGAGGGGAAAAGGAAGGGAAATAATGGAGGGAAATGGACTGCCTCTGTTGATCCAGGCTATGGTTGGGTTGGCTTAGTTTACTGTAAAATTGTCTCTCAGTGCTTGCTTCTGGGTGATAAGCAGGAAAGACCTTCATTTCTGAGAAGAAACAGGGGTTTGCTCTATTGAGGTCTGATTACTGGGAGATCATGGCTTTCTGATGATATTAGAAAATGAAAAGCTATATGGAAAGATGAGAGCACTAGAGAAAGTGCTGTTTGATGAAAGGTGGGGACCCCATTGGTTTCCTGCAGGCAGGGAAAAAAAAAAGGTGATTCTGGTCTGTACTGATCTGGGGGGATTTTGGGAAGAATGATAATCAGGGAGGTTACTGAGAAAGGAGAAAACCAAGGATAGATAGTGGCTGGAGGCTGAACAAATTTGAATGATAAATCACTTTTTATCAGTGACCGTTTTATTCTAGTGGTTAAGTTAACATTAAGAATGGTGAATTTTCTATCTTAGTCTTTCAAGATCTAGATCAGTGCTGCTTGCCATTTGGAAGTTGTAAATTAGCCAGATGCACAAGATTTCAGCCAAAAACAGGTGATGAGGTGGGGTGCAGAGATCACTACAGGAAATACAAGAGCCTGTGCTGTACAAATTAAATGAATGATTTAAGAATTGCTTTGGAATCTGAACTTTAGGAACAAAAGTTTAAAACAATTATGCAATTTGTTTTACTGTTCTATATCCCATTTTTCCTTTCCAGAGCAGAATTTATACTCTTCATTTTTATTTTATTCCTAATTTCTGCATCAGGCCCACAGTTACAGATACAGACAGAAAACCTCTGGAGTTCTGGGGGTTTGCTCTTAGGTATGTTTTGGCTGCATCTTGTCACATTCTTTCGGTGATAGTTGTGGTAGGGTGGCTGCAGTTGTAAAACAGATTTTTTTTTTTTTATTGTTGGTCTTGAGGAGAGGAAGAATTTTCTCTTGAAAGAGCAGAATTGAGCTCCAGAGAAAGTCGAGCATCTCATATACAGCAAGGCTCGTAATTTTCCTGGGTGGAGGGAGGAATAAAGATGTGTTGTTTGGCAATTGCAATGGAGTGTGTATGAGGAGGAACTTTTTATAGAATCAGTTGGGACAGTCTATTGTTCAGATTAAGCACTGAGGTCTTAAGCTGTTTGTCTTCTGATGAATTGCATGTTTAAGCAATCTTTAACCTGATAGATTTTCAGAAAGGTTTCTTTTTAGAGAGAATTTTGAAATCTTATCTGTAATCGCTCTGGGAGACAGAAAGCACAGTAAGTTTCCAGTGGATTTGTCCTATATTTGAGAAGGAAGGAAGTCAGTGATTCTTTGTTGTTTCACAGTTTCTTTCCTATTAGTCCTGCCAAGCCAGGACAGTGAAAGTTTAGTTGATACCTACTTCTCATCTTTGATATCACAGCACATTAGAATGGTTTGGGTTGGAAGGGACATTTAAGATCATCCAGCTCCAACCCCCTGCTGTAGGCAGGGACACCCCCCTCTACACCATGTTGCTCAAAGCCCCATCCAGCCTGGCCTTGAATGCTTTCAGGTGGGAGCATCCTCTGTTTCTCTGGGCAACCTGTTCCAGTGTCTCACCACCCTCACAGTCAAGAATTTCTTCCTAATATCTACTCTAAATCTACCCTGTATTTTTTTTAAGGTTGTTGGGGTCATCTCTGTTTATTTTAAAGGCCATTTAAAGATGATTGATAATGTGCCAGAAAACTCTGCTACCTGAGTAACTTAAACATAAGTGTATTGAATTGGAGGCACAGTATTTTTATAAAGGAAGTGAAGGAAAAAGAACGGATGCTCTGCAGTTCTTCAATTCTGTGGTATTGCAGTGCTGATAACCAGAAAAGCTCGTGTGAATGCTTATTGTGTGTGGCTGTTTTTGGAAGTAGATAATGCTCTCCAGGTAATGCTGTTTTTGTTGATGTTTAATAGGGGTGAAAAATGAGCGAAAGTAGAAGCAGAAATGGAAATGCAGATGGAGGAAATATAAGAAAAGAATAGGATTCTATCTAGCTGCTGACTCTAGTGGGTGCAAGGCCTAATCACCTTCGTTCCATTAGCCATCTTTTGCTATATGTCAACAGTTATAAATAAATAAAAGGATGCTGCTACTTTCAGCCCCAAACCTGATGTTCATGGTCAGATACGTGCTTCTTTACAACACTGTATTTACTTATGCTGTCCTTCCTTCTTAAAAATATACCATACTATAAATTTTTCTCTGGGCTGCTTTTTCAAGGAATATTTAAGCAGCAGTGTTAAATCTCAAATCTGGATCGTACTTAGAAGAGCTGGAAGGAAGAGTTGAGGACAATATTCTTTTAATATAAATGCTAATTTCAACCAGCTAAATGTCTTTTGTTTATTGTTGTTTAGTAAATTCTTTGTTTTTTTCAATGAAGCTGGTAGAAAAGTCCTACTCAGGGAACAGTAATTGTAAAGCATTTGGTGACCAGTGTGACTGAGAAGTCTTGTTTGCTGAGGAATAAACAGTGTATATGGTGTCACAGGAAAGAAAATTGATAACAGTTTTTCAAGCTGAGCTGCTGTTTGTCTATTTTTATTACAGTGGAACAAAAAGTAACAAAATCTCCTACGTATAGAGACTGTGATTGCCTTTTCTTCTTCGATTTCATAATAATAATGAACTGCTGTGAAGGTGTGCTGGACCTTGTCCATTGCTTCTATGTTTGCTCTCTGAAATCCTTGCAATTTACAACTTCTGTGCATATTAGCAAAGACCATTTGTAATGAAATTATCACGACTCTAGGAAGACTTATGACTGCCTGAATGTATTTAAGGGAGAAGGAAATACTTTTGAATGTGTCATCCTTTTTCAGTGGCTGATGCATTAGTGGAAAGTGGGTGGCACACTAGTTTTACTGTATGTATGCACACCTCAAAAGAATTAGCTGTTGTTTGAAGACACTGCATTGCTTGTGAACTGTTACTTTCAATGGAATTCAAGTGTAGTACAGAGTGTTTAGCTAGAAAAGAATTCAGGTTTCTTACATGAAAAAACTGCAAGTTTTTCAATCTGAGGCCAATGTTTGAGTGGTTCTTTGTTCTTTGGAAATAATTCATTGCAGAATTTGCGTTATATTGAAATGCAGTATTGTGAAATCTAAGGAACCTGCTGCAGAGCTTAGGTCAAAATTACTGTGCTGTACCTGAGTCCTTCAAAAGGAGCGAGATTGCTGAGACCTTCCTCTGAGGGAATGCAAGTATTCTGTTTTTATTGACCTGGCCACAGTGGTAGAGAAAAGTGAAGTAGAGAAATAACAACAGTGGGTATCCTGAATGTGCTTAATTTGTTTGTGAATATAGAGATTTTCACATTTTTGAATGCCTGGGAGGGTGTATATAGACATGATACATTGTGTTGTCTGAATCATGTGTTCTGTAACATTGCATATAGTTGAGATACAGGCAGATGGCATGTGGTAACTAATCGATTGCTTTTTTTCCCTAGATTCCTCCAAATAAAATAGATTATGAATATAGTGAACTGATTTTATATCAAAATCAAGTGATGAGAGAGGCAGATCTGTTTCAGGAGTCTCTGGAACATATAGAGACATACGAAAAGCAAATATGTGATAAACTAATAGTAGAAGAAATCAAAGGTAAGTTGTTCTTGTCTCAGCCAGTTTTGTTCTAAACTTTTGCTACCAGCTTTCAGATACGGTAATGTGTTCAAAAAATAAATGTGAAATCTTTAATTTTGAACAACTAATATTGGGAAACTGTTAATACAGGATCTACAGTGCTGTGCTCGGTAGTTTTCCCTATGGAAAACCATGTGGATACAGGTAGCTTAATTTGGGTTTACAGTGGAACAAAGATCTTGAAGGTGGTGGTGTTAGTGTTTGCATAAGTGGCTTTGTTAATCAAAGCTATTATAATCCAGTTTTACTCCAATGAAGAATATTGTTTGTAGTACAAACACTTATTTTCTTTTTTTCTGGAACTGAAATAACAAAATGTTTCCTTTGTGAGCCTTCCAATGCATTTATTTTGTATTCTTTGCCTTCAGTGAATACTGAAGTTGACTTTTTTAATTAAAACCACCCATAGTTGTTCTCTGGGTTTGAAGTACTGGGTTCTGAATGTGCACAATTATGTAGTGTAATAGCATGTATTCTTTGGCTGCTTGCTCATTCCCATGCCTTGCAGTCCCCTTCATCAGGCAGGAGAGAGAAGTGGAGAAAACTTATGCGTTAGATCAAGTTAACTTAAATGAAGGAAAAAAGAAGAAGAACTAACAAAATGGAAGTACATAGGCAATTACACAGCACTTCCAGAAGCAGAGTGATTGCCAGCTAGTCTTCAAGCAATGACCATCTGCCCAAACAAACTTTCTCCATATTTTTTTTATTACTAAGCATGATATTATGCAGTTCTGAAAGGAAGTTTCTTTGTTTCTTTGCAATAAACCGAATAACTGGTTTAAATATGTAGTTAAAGACATGCAAATCTTGTTTTTCACCAGTGCTTAATGCTCCAAATTGTGTTGAGCTGTAGGTATGACGACTTCAAGTAGCACTTGTCATTTCTGTAAATGCCTCTGTAAAATATTTTTTTTCAATATCTATGATAAATCCTGATTTGTTTTCACTTAGTTTTGTAGATTTCACTGCCGCGCTGTGTTTGCTCGCATAATTCATAGCTCTTTACTGCTTTGTTTTTAGGAGAAATGCTATTGAAGTTGGGAAGACTAAAAGAAGCTGGTGAAGTATACAAAGAGTTAATTGAGCGCAATGCAGAAAACTGGTATTATTATGAAGGCCTGGAAAAGTCCCTGCAACCTAGTAAGTTAAAATGTACTGGTACAATGAAAATACCTACAATCCAGGACATACTCAAAACCTTCTGCGTGATGTATTGCAAATAGAGTTCAAAAGGCTTTACTCAGCAGAAGAACATTTACTGTCTGATTTTAAATTTGGTATAGTTGCTTTCCATTGAACGTTTAAGAAGTGAATAAACACTTGCATGCATGACATCAGCAGCAGCAAGTCTTTTTCTTCTTGGAGCTGAAGCTGCCATTGGTTTAACATGCTCATTTCATAGAATCATAGAATCACCAAGGTTGGAAAAGACCTAAAAGATCATCCAGTCCAACCGTTCACCTATTCCCAATAGCTCCCACTAAACCATGTCCCTCAACACAACATCCAGTCTTTCCTTGAACACCCCCAGGCTCGGTGACTCCACCACCTCCCTGGGCAGTCCATTCCAGTGCCTGACCACCCTTTCTGAAAAGTAATTTCAGAATTACTTCAGAATTTGAAGGACCTTTTCTGAGCGTGAGCTTGGAAACCAAATTGCAATTTGTTCTTATCAACTGATTGTCAGAGTATTATTTATACTCCAGGAAGTAAAATTATCATTGTGAAACTTGTTTGAGTGGCACCACTTTGACGTATAGGGAAATAATTAATAAACCTCTAATCCAGATATCCTCTTAACAATAAGAAAGTTTTGTTAAAAGCTGACTGTTCTTTGGAAAAAGAAGTGATAAATGTGACAAAGCCTTTTGGTTTTGTTTGTTGTGTGCTTTTTTTTCTGCTCCCAGGGCTATTTCATGTTACTGCTGGTCTGTCTTATCAAGACATTACCTAAATTGGATTTAAAAAAAAAATAATCCCACAATATTGCAATCATGTATACTATAATAAATACTTCACAATAATAACTTTGCCAAGTGTCTACTTTTACACTAGAATGCATTCCTTGTATTTCACTGTTGACTAATTAATGGAAGTTTTATTGGAATAATTCTGATGACATCATAAATCATAAGCCCACAAGCATGTTGTTTGTAGATATGAGATCTGCATTGTATTTCTCAACCAGCTTCCAGAAAGTTTTATGTTTTGGGTTTAATAATGTCTGGAATTGCAGCTTGTGATTGGGAATTGAAGATGATTATATTTGTTGCATTTATGTAGAGACTACCATTGCCCTTTGAATGTTTTTCCTAGTGTATCTCTAGAGGTGAAAAGATGGTAATTGTTAATATTTCAAAATTAATCATCCAAAATTGATTATTCTGCTTGATAGAATATGTTGATATGAATGGTTTTTAACAAGTAACCAATACAGTAGATTATTTGACATATTAAAATTGGTTATAGCATAAAACTTCACTAATTTATAAAACTAATAATGCTACTTTATTTTTTAGGTGGTCTTAGGACTATTTCCTCCCCCATGGTAAGTTCTGGAGCTCCAACTTGTGACTTCAATTAGGCTTTTTATATGCTTTAGTTCCAATTCAAACATTACTTCAGTGTTGCTATTAGAACTGCGCATCTCTTGGAGCCGCTGGGTAATATATTTTTTTCCCCCCCTTCCCCAATATCAGAGCTCAGAGACCACAGAAATCGTTTTTCTTAGAAAAGAAACTGGAAATATTCATTAAACATCTGTTGTGCCATAGTCTTGATGTGAAAAACATTCATTTTTATTGAAGTTGCTTGATGAATTTGAAAAACATTGAAGCAAAATTGATCGTAGTTGTATGAAAATGGCATCTCAAAAACCAGATTAATTTAAAGTTCTGACCACATTGGAGCTCCAAAGCATATTATGGGGGAAAGGGGAGGAGTGGGAAGAAAATCTTTAAGAAAAATAAAGTTATTTTAAATGTTAAGGTATTGACACTTGTTGTGCCCAGTGTCTGTGCTGGCAGTGTTGTGCTCTAATTTTGCTGCCACCAAAGGACTTTATGATAAGGACGTGCTTGTATAGTTTCTAAATTGGAGGTATACAAATAACATACACAGTGTATTTTCCTGAATGCATACTGAAAAACATGTTTTGAAGCTATCAATAACAAAATACTGTATGAATGGGTCTGCACAGTGAAAGAAAACAAATATTAATGTTTGATTGAACATGAGTGGTAATTGGGTTGTTTGGGGTTTTTTTTGCAGTTTACCCCTACAGTGATTATGCTGGTACTTCTGACTTAGTGATTTCAGTGCACTGTTTCACAGTGTTTTTGATTAGTTGGGGGAAAAAAAGAGCTTGAAATGTTTAAAATGGTTCAAAGTCCAAAATATATACTGAATCTTAACAATTTCAACGTTTTAAACCTTTAGAAGAATAGATTTTGATCTGTTACTTATATCTATTGTATTTACTGATAATAGGCACTTTAGAAGAGAGGCTTCAGATTTATGAAGAAGTTAGTAAAAGGCATCCCAGAGCAGTTTCACCTAGAAGATTACCTTTAAACTTTGTTTCAGGTAACACGTTGCATATCTGTTCCATAATAATTTTTTTTTTTGCTTTTTTTTCTTAATTTTTGGTAGGCTGTTAGATGTGCATTTAATAACTACTTTTGCATGTACACAAATTAGACAAATGCTTTTTTTTTTCTGGATTAGACAGTCTTTGTTACGTTTTAGGATTTGATAGGAAACGTTCACACACTCTAATATGGTGGTACTAACTATGTAATGCTGTTTTCATTGATGAAATTACAGGACAGAATGGTGTCCAGCTTTTTTGTGAATGATTGCGTATTGCTTTTCTCCATCATCAACTTAAAGAGCATCAATTAAAAGGCAAGGAGTTTGCTGCACTTGGAGGCAGGGCTCTGTGTCTCTGTACACGTGCACAGGCATGTGGGCTAACCTACATTCTAATTTATAACCACAGAAAGCAGTTCTCAAAGATGCATATTATAATCAAGAAGCATGAATTTCATGACCTTTTTAATACTGTTAATGTACCAGAAAACACCAAGTCACTTTTGTGAATCTGACAGCGTTTTTGCAGCATTTTTGTCTAGAGCCATTTTTATCCAAAATCTATCAACTTGTTGCTGGTAATTTAAGAAGAACAGGAACAAAAAGCAGATGTGCAGTGTTTCGTAATGGGTTGTTGTATTTTTAGTTTTATAACAAAGTTCTTTTCAGTGATTATATCCTTTTACAAGTTGTATTGAAATAAAGCTCCAACTACCCTCAGCTCTGCAAGGAATATAGTTGAAAGACAAAACAAAAACAACACAAAACTGTACTGTTCCAAGAGAGGAGGAAGGAAACTAAGGTTTGCTTTTGGTTTCATTCATTTACTGAGCACTGCATACACTGTACCTTCAAATACTGCCAAACATAACTAGTACACTTGTCTGCTTAGGAGTCTAAATGTGCATACACCAGTCTTGTATAAATGCACAAGACACTTCATAAGAGGTTAGCCCTGAAATTAACACCTGGTGCCTTAGTTAATCCCGGATATCTTACATTTCTTGGAGCTACAAAGGCAAAATGTCACGACAGTTTAGCTAGATTTTATTAAAAAGCCACATGACAGAATTTTTTCTTTTGTTACCCAGTTGTTTACACCAATACATAGCAAATGATTAGTATCTTTCAAAATGATTTTCCATATCTTTATTAGTAGTGTGCTTTGTGTTGACTTCTTCACTGTATGTTTTGTTCTGGGTTACTCTCTCATTGTACAGTGTGGTTTTACAGCTGGTGTTCATTCAAGTAGAAATGAGTTTTGTTATAGGCATCAGTTGTTCCTGCTGTTTTAAAAGCCAAATAATTAACAATTAAATCTAATTTTACAATTAAACTAAATTTGAGAGAAATCTCTCAGCGAATTTGACTCTGTGGTTTTCATAATAAATAAGAATTTCCCTGATTTAAAACTTCTCTGTCGATCCTTTAGGTCTGCTTTGGTCAGATTGAATAAGGCTGTTTTTGAGCCTGCAGAAAATCACCTGATAGGTCTGCATTTCTGTTCCAAATGCCTCGTGTTGTAAATTGAGCAGATAAGAAATGTTGTTGGCTGAAGTTAATAATGAAAATGTTAAGATGTAGAGACAAACTTCTTTGGAAATGTGCTTTCAAATTTCAAAGAGAGGAAAATATTTGGTTGAAGTTGCTGTCCCTGTGTGTTCAGTGACCAGATGCTTACCTTGCATCCCATCACAATAACCTTGTAATTGGTGCAAATCAGATCCTTGATTCTGCTGGAAACCACCTTCTGGGAGCTTGGGGGCAGTCAAAGATGGGGAAATGGAGTCTGGCAATCCAGTTTTAGATCTGTTTAATTGCTGTAGATTCATTGTTCCTGTCTCTGTCTGTCTGTCAAGTCTCTTTTGTGTATCAGTTGAAGAGTGAATGCTGAACTTTATGTTGTAGGTAGGGTGCATCTTTTTTTAAAATGTTTCTTATTCTTTTTCAAAGCTGTTCTGTTTTCTATACAAAAAAAAAAAACAAACCCACCCACATTCTTAATGGAAACTTGAACCTCGCTTTGTTAGGTTCTCAGTTACAATTCCATCAAGAATATTGCAACAGAAGAAATTAAGAATGAAGTGTTTTGTCTGGTTGGTTGGTTGCCAATGAGCAGTTCCTTGTAGAGTGAGGAAACTTTTTAATTAAACCACCTGTCATAAAGCCTGGGCTTATGGTCAAGTTATGGATCCCTCATCCACAGGTAGAAGCTCCTTTATTTAGCAGTTTGTTTTACTAAAGAGCTTCTGTTATAACTTCGTGTCAGTAACATTGCCAATTACAAGTTGAGGACAGTTTAGAATTGGTAGAAGTACATTAGAAATGTTACATGCAGAGCAGTAGGACCTTTTTTTCCTGGATATTTAAAGCCATGTGTTAATCAAATTTTGTTAATGTGTTCTTAATGAATTGAAGCTTATTTCAACAGTCTTATGAGCATATGTTAGCATTATGTTTAAAGATTGAGAAGTCCACAAGAGTAATCAGTGAAGTGTAATAGCCTCATCTCTATTCAAAGCAAAGTGAAGCAAAAACCAATAAATTGAAACAATTGGAAACAATCATTGTTTTCCATAGGGATACAAACATGAAGAGCAGCTGTATTGTTATTTTTCATTGGATGCCTTCTCTTTGAAGTCTAGCTTTGTTTCACAAACAGCATTTCTCAGGAACATGAAACTGCAAGTACTACGACTTTTATTAACCTGAAAATGTAATGAAAAGTTCATTAAGTTTACTAAGTATTGTGGATACGGTGCTGCTGAACACATCTCCTGTTTCTGATTCCAGAAACAATCATTGTATTTGAAGTTGTGTCCTACTCATTAAAACAAAAAAGACTGGAAGAGAGGTGCAGAACTCATTTTATCCATCCTTCTTCCTCAGTGCAGGATAATTTTTGTGCTATTGCTAACTCACATTCGTGTAATTCAATCATAAAAAGTTAGTGATGAAGCTTTTACAAGATCTCCAAGGTAATTTATTCCAGTGCTTAGTTACTCTTACCGCTGTGTTTTTTCCAGTGTTTATTTGAATGCCCTTGTTATGTGCAGTATTAAAACTTTTAATACCTTCCCTTTTTAACAGCTGTTACAGATTTGGAGACTGTTACCATGTCTTCTAGTCATCGGTCTCCTAAATGCTAGCAAGTTAGGCACTTTCCTTTCTGTTTTTTTTTTTTTATTATTTTAATTAATCCAGAGCATATTTGCACCTCATTCTTAATTAAAAGATAAAAACCCTTAACTACAGTTTTTCAGTTGCTCTATTATCCAGAACTGTACACGGAGTAGTGCTAATATTTATATAACACTTGCAATCACTGACATATAACCAAATACACTTTTGTTTCTAGGTGAAAAATTTAGAGAACTATTGGATAAGTTCCTGAGGGTTAACTTCAGTAAAGGCTGCCCACCCTTGTTTACCACTTTGAAATCTTTATATTACAATCCAGAAAAGGTAAAGTTTAGTACTTACTTTGCTTTAATGAAGTCTTCCGTATTGAATTTCTAAAAGTTAATCCAAATGTTTGTTCTTAGATTTTACTATTTCTTACAAACAACCTCTGCTGAACACTTTTCTCCCTAATGTTGCTGTTTTGTCCTATGTGAATCATCATTGGGTGATACTTAATCTGTGACAAGATTTTTACTTCTGTTGATAATTGATTTGAAAATACTTGAAGCCTGGTTGCAGGTTGCACTGATCTTTATTCATTTTTTATTTTTTGAAGCTCAAAGGTAACCAGTAAATATGTGTGCTCTGCAAGTGTGTCAGGATTCATTCAGCTTATGGTTTATGATGTCACCAGAAGTAATGATTTTAAAATATCGTACAGATGTCTAATATTCTACATATATTTGAGTTGCATCAATACGTAATTGTTACTATTTACCACAAAGGCTTGTTTCCCGTTTCAGTCTCTGGATAATCTTAGTGTTCAATTTCTACACTTTTAAATTCTCCTAGATTTGGAAAAATTGTGTCACACTGGAACTGTTATTTCAGATTGAGTTATTTGTTCCAAGCTTTCAAAAGGTGCAGTAAGTGCTTCAAATTAAGGTTAATAAAATGTGCAGCAAATAAAAAAAATTGATTCAGATGTTCAGTTTTTGCTACAGGCAATAAGAACACTTGGTATTCCAGTTGGGAACAGCTTTTATAGCTTGAAGAAAAACTTCAATATAGGATGCTTATCAACCAACTTTGGCTATTCTTGACTTTGAGAATCTCCTATCATTTTCAAAATGCTTCTGTTTTGAGAATATTCATAGAATTATTCATAGAATTATAGAACAGCTTGGGTTGGAAGGAACTCCAAGGATCATCAAGTTCCAGCCCCTCTGCTACATGCAGGGCCACTGACCTCCAGATTTGGTACTAGACCAGGCTGCCCAGGGCCCCATGCAACCTGGCCTTGAGCACCTCCAGGGACAGAGCATCCACAACCTCTCTGGGCAGCCTGTTCCAGCACCTCACCATTTTCTCTGTGAAGAACTTTCCCCAATATCCAACCTAAATCTTCCCTCCTTCAACTAAAAACCATTTCCCCTTGTCCTATCAGTATCTATCTGGGATAGTATTTTCTCCTCCTTTCTATAATCCCCTTTTAAATACTAGAAGGCTGCAATGAGGTTTCCTCACAGTCTTCTCCAGGCTGAACAAGTCCAGCTCCCTCAGCCTGTCTTGTAGGAGAGGTGCTCCAGCCCTCTGATCATCTTCCTGGCCTCCTCTGGACCTGCTCTAACAGCTCAATATTATCTGTGCTTTTTTCCTGTAAGTTGACATAATCGTTAAGGAATTCTGGCATGCTGTGCAGTACAAGCTTTTTCCACAATGCATACTGGTAATGCATGCTTTCAATGTAAACTTTAGAAACTGGATTGAATTTTTTAAAATGTCAACACATTGAGTACCTAGACAGAAGAAAATAAGTACTGCGGAAGTTGTACATCTGATAATGATGTATGTAAAAGATAGTCTCATTGTGCTTGGAAAAATATTTTGACACCTGTTTTGTGAGTAAAAAGATCACTAGCATGTCTGGGGACAGATTCACTCAGAGTAGTTGATTTCTTGCTAGTTATCTTCAGTGAGATCACTGGTCTGATCACATAAGATCACTGCCTATTAGGACTTGAGGAGCTTGATTCTAAATACTGATTTTCGCCTCATATTTGACAGATATTTTCAGATCTGTGTGCAGTGCTGTCTTCTGCAAAAACATCCTCCTTTTCCTTCTGTTGCTTCTCTTCCTCAAAATGAGTCTGTTTTGCATTTCACGTGGTTGAATATTCATGTAACACAACAGTTTGAAACAGAAATTTTCATGTTTGACAGTTTTAGCCATTATAAAGTTCAGGGGTTATGGGAAGGAAAAGTGTGAAAAGCTAATGTGTGCTTTTTAGGAAAATGCACCTTGGTATCTAACTTAACTAAGGTGATGCTTAATGCTAGTTTCTAACTTAAGTTATTGGTATATTTTTCACTGAAAACTGAAAGAATTGTACTCAAGATCATGTTGTACCTTATAGATAATTAGGAAATAAGTTCTCTAAAAGTGTTGGAAATGTACATTTTGTCCTCTGATTTTCAGAAGCAGTTCTAATCTGCAATTTCAGTCTGAGACCATACAGATAAGATGATTTTATTAAAGAGTTTCTATGTAAGCCTAGAAGGTTCTTCCATGAACTCCAGGGATGTCCAGAGTCTTTGACATAGCGTGGTTTCAGGAAAAAGGGTAAAATAAGCGATGCTTAGACTAATAGAAGCCTTCAGGTTGTATCAGACAAAATTGTGCCAGTGTCACAGGTGGGAAAGGAGTTTAAATGCCTGCAATAATATAGATGAATAATGGGGAAGAAATGTAACTTGATTTGCTCAGCTGGGAGGAGGATTAGATTTCTGTATCTTTGAACATTGTGACATTAACACCTCTTAAACCTGAGTGAGGAATCTAAAATGTAGAGAGTGGCTGGTTCTAGATATCCAATGTCTATCTCTCTCTGCCTGTTTGTAGGGTATAGAGGAAAAGTGGTTATGTGAAAAGTAAATGTTTGCTGAATTGTTGAGGAAAATGTTGTTTGGTATTTAATTGACTGAAGGTGGTTCTTCACTAAATGATTTACATAAAGATTACTGGTATATTTCAATTTCAAACCAGATTATATTCTGCTAGCACTTAGTAGTAATTTAGGTACTCCAGCTACACTGTGCTGCAGATCTCCAGGATGCACCAGGATTAGAGTGAAGCTTACTCAAGGAAATTCTAGAAACTCTTCTGTACTTACTCTGCTTAGACCACAAATACCAAGGTTGGAAATTATGCTTTAGTTTCCAACAGACACGTTGTTATAAAGATCTAAAACAGGTTTGCTGTATTTGTGGCAGTTGTGGAAATGATATCAGAAAACAGTAGAAATTCCCACTTTCTGGGGGGGCTGCTTACAGAGTTAAAGTTCAAATGTTCTTTTATAACGTTTGACTGATGATCAATTAGTGGTGTTTTAGTATTTTATTTTTTATTGATCAAAGATTCTTTGAGTAACTGAAGGCTTAAAGGTAAGTGCTGAACAAGTGAGTAACCAAATCCAAGAATACTCGAGTAATTTTTAATTCACAAGTTCCCCAAACACTATATTGGTGTTCTGAGAATTGATTGACAAAATCATAGAATGGCCTGAGTTGAAAAGGACCTCAAAGATTATCTAATTTCAATCCCCCTGCTATGGGCAGAGTTGCCAACCACTGGACCAGGCTGCCCAGAGCCACATCCAGCCTGGCCTTGAATGCCACCCTCTGAGTACAAAACTTCCTCCTAGAATCTAACCTAAACCTCCCCTTTCTTTCTTAATTTAAAAATCTTCTCCCTTGTCCTATCGCTATCCACCCTTGTAAACAGTCGTTCCCCCTCTTGTTTATATGCTCCCTTCAAATGTTGGAAGGCCACAATGATGTCTTCCTGGAGCTTTCTCTTCTCTAAGCTAAACAAGCCTTCCCCCAATCTTTCTTCATAGCAGAGATAAATCCTTCCTGGTACTGTCTGCTGTACTCTTTGAATTGTTCTATAGAGAATGTGTTTAAGTGTGATTCAAGGATGCTTATTCTGTTAGAAGGGCAGTAAGTATGAATTCCTAAACTAAGTCATGAGTTAGCACTCAGCAGGCTGCTCAAAGCAAGTACTAAATGCTGCTGTCTTTTCAGGCTGTAACAATTTTAAGGAACAGCCTGGAGTATGCAGATTAAAACATAGGAAGCCAGACTTCATCCATTTGGTTGTTTACAAAGCTTTTTTTTTTTTCTTTAAAGGAAGGAAAAAAAAGTGTTTTTTGTGGGTTTGTTTATTTTGTTATCATTGTTTTACTTTTTAAGGGATCAAGGTGGGGGTGGGCTGTGATGACACTGTTGTAGTGTAGGAACTTGCATCAATTTTGGCACACCTCAGATAAGTCCATATACTTCAGAAGTGTAAAATCTTGATGTCTTAGTGTGCAGTAGATGGTTTTTGTTTTTATCTGCTAGTCGCCTTATTTACAGTAATAATACTGTAAGTTATTGAAGATGGAAGAAATTCAGTCAAGCTGTGTTTTCTTTAAGTCAATAACTATCCCTTGTATACCTTCATAATTGTTACCCACCTTGTTTAAGTAACAGAACATCATTTTACAGCTGCTTGCTCAACTGCCCCTTTGGTCATGCAATTTTCTTTCTCTTCACATCAGTACACGGCTCACTGAGCTGCTTCAGGGTCAATCCATCTGCAAACAAATCCTTTGCATTAGTGTGATCACTTTTCTGCGTGTTCTCGCTAGGTTTGTGAAGGACAGTAAATATTACAGGTGAATACACAAACAGCGTGCCAGAGTTGTTGAATCAAGACAGGGCTCACAGCAGCACAGACTTCAAATTGTACAAAGGCATGGTGGCTTTGTCATCTAAACCCAGCTAAGACATCCGCGTTACCACTTAGAACTCATCTGACCAGGAAGCATAGGAGGCAGTTCATGTTGCTGTCAATTGCGTGCCTGTATCCATAGCCATTGTGCCATTGTTTCTCGAATTTAGTATAGAAATATGCAAAACCTGTGTTAGGCTGAGATTTATTTTTTTTTTATATCTCAGGAGATGGTAAGTTGTTGCCTTGGATTTTTCACATCCAACTCTGGCGCTTTGAAACCTGTTTGTTATGACACTGGAATCTTTACTACATGACTCAGTACGGAAAGGAATAAGTCACTAGGTTAAGTATGTACATTAAGTGCATCTTAGGATCATGCTTCAGGTATTGTAAATCAAGAAGATGCTTTAATTTGCATGCTGAGATTTAGAAACAGCGTTTTTCTTACCTAGATTGTAGCAGATCCAAAGGTGTTTTGGCATTTAGTTTCTGGCTTCTCACTGAACATCTGTTGACAATCTCTGTGGAGATTAATGAAATATTTTTTTAATGCGTTGGAGTC